CTCCCAGCCGAACTGCGCATGCGCACACATGCGCAGCCGGCTGCCTCGCTCTCCCTTCCGTGGCTTCCCCCCACGGCATCTGATCGTGCCAGGAAGCAACTGCGCAGTGACTCAGGGGATCTGTCTGATCCCGCCGCCGCGCGTCTCTTTTGGTGCGGCTCTAAAAAGCCGCACTTTGACCACGCAATTTCTCCCGTGTGACCGGGGCCAACAATTACACAGACATTCAACTCTGTTACCATTTGAGGAAGAAATTGCCACTAAATCTAAGTAGAGGTCAAGCCAAAGTTCCTTAAATATATAAGAGTAAATTATTAGGAGAAGGGGGCACCTGACAGGTGAAACCTCTTTAGCTTTAGCTCACATAGAAAAACTAAGGAATTTTATTGCATCAAGTGTTTTCCCAAAGTTTGCAGAGAACTGTGCTGATTAGTTGAATGGGTGGGAAACTATACCATAAGGTACCTGACCAGATGAACTGAAATTTATCCCTCAGTGACAGTGGGTCTCTTGCAGTCAGGAAGCAAAAAAGTGGCCATTTGGCATTCTATTGGGTTGCAAAAAAGTCCACAAAAGGACAACCCCATTTCTGGAAAACTGGGTACAGGTAACGATCCTGAATGGTCATGGGTAGTTAAATTGGTCCAGCTGAAACAGTCCACACAGGTATTCTTCAAACAAGTGACATACATGGCTTGGATAACATAGTTTTAAGATCTTCTTCAATTTCAGATAGCCTCAGTCTCAGAACAATGTATAAAGGAGGCAGTGCACCCTTGTTTCCTCAAGTAGTGCACAGCACGCATTGTCTGTGGCTACTTGAATAATGTCTTTCCATGTTGCTTCCCAAGAAACTCGAGTATAGTGTATAACTCTTAGTTCCAATGCACTGATGCATTTTTTTTTAATTGGGGACCACAGCCCACTGAAATAATGGTTCCCGCAACATGTACCCCAAACTTCTAGAGAAGCGTCTCTAGTAACAATGACATTATGATCTAAGGACCCAAAGTGACATCCTCTGAACAACTTCTGATCTTAAACTCTCCAGGAGGGGGAGCGAACAACACACCAAGGAGCCAAAAAAACATTGCATCTGTGAATTAACTCATGAGCTGAACACCCTAGGGAACCAAACCTGAAGGGAATGTATGCATAAGTGCACACATGGACTACATATGTAGTACAGGCCACTACGCCTAATAGTTCTTTGTATATCCAGTGTAGTCTGAAAACAACAGTGACAAAATCTTGCAATAACAACAACGGGGTTGGACCCCATCCTTTGGGAGATATGCCTCACTTAAGGTAGAATCAAGAATTGGCCCAACACCTTGCAACCTCTGGGAGGGGGTAACTAATTAACTAATAAGCATAAAGCTTGCAATGTATTTAAAATTACTGCAAGATCATTGAAACGTTGATTGGCTGAGGGACCTATAGGCAACCCGTTACCTAAGTAGAGAGAAAATAGTACAATCTTGTTTTCTACTGTGAGCCACAACTATTGCTATCACTTTAGAGAATACTGTTGGAGCCATAAAGAGTCTGAGTGGCAGTACTCTATATTGAATTGGTTATTCCCATTTGTGGAATCAAAAGAATCACCAGGATGACTGATCTAGACTTTGGGTGGCATTTTTTTTTACCATTATTACTTTACTTCTGGGTAAGACATTACTGTTTGGGGATTCAGATCCATGTGGTTTCAGAGTTCAGGGCCACTATTTTCAGTGGGGAATGCATATGAGGTCTGGGGCAGCTGTTTATAAAGATAATGGCAACAAATTTGCACAGAACACACTCCAGTTCAAAGACCCTCCAAATTTCAGGTTAATTGGACCAAATGGGTGAACTTTACAGACCACTGAAGTAGATACCTGTTAATACAGACACAGTTTTCTCCACTGATTTCTAAAATGGCGGCCAAGCAGTAGCCAAGTAGTAGAGTTCCATCTGGCCACAGCATTTTAAAAAAAAAACAACCTCCAGCTGTCTGCATTTTCCTGCGTTTACACAGACTGGCTGACAGTAAAAAAGTCTTAATTTTCCAGTAAAAGCTCTGCATTTGCCATTATTCCTTGTTGTGGCCTGATAGTTTCCTTTCATAAGGTAAAAGTGGCTTCCTTTATATACTCCCCCAATCTCTTTCTGTCAATCTGCTGTTTTGGGGCTGTACTAAAATGAATGACAGGAATGTGTATTGGGAATAGTAGGAGAAGTGAGGCTGGAAGGCCAGGAAGGCCAATTGACTTGCATGGACTCTATTAAAATACATTACAGCACAAAAAAGTTGCAATGAAAATTTGGAACAGATTATATGAAATCTGTGCTGGGCCTGGAATGACATAATCCAGAGTGGAATGATAATCCCTGAGAGTAACAGTTCCTGGGCCCAGATAAAATTCTCTGGGATTGCATTGACAGCCCTCGGAGTAGAATGCAGCCCCTGGGACTGGAATCAATGTTGGGGGGGGGGTGTCATTCCAGTTCCAAACCACTGATTCCAGTCCTAGAGGCCATTATTCCACCATGGAGGGTGTCATTTCAGACCCATGGCAAGTTTCTCTAAATCCATTCCGCATTCTTAATGCAACGTCTGTTCTCTGTAATGTATTAAAATTGAGCCCATACAAGTCAACTGGCATTCCTGGCTTCCATCGTATCCAGTGATCCTTCAACCATCTCCATTGTTCCCAATGACATTCTTGTTATTTGTTTTAGTACATTCTGTACAGCTCTTTATTTATCAAGGAACAGAAGAACAAAAGAGAACCACCTCCTCCAAATGAGGGATGGAAAGAGAACTGTGGTTCCCTGTGGTTTGTCTCCAAAAGTGGGTGGCTGAAAGTTCTCGGTGTTCCTCCCTTGCAAGGATCCAATAGGAAAGGAGAAATGTCATTGATTTGAGAAATCAGTAGAATAAAGAAGAAGGAAAGGAGAGAAGAGATTGGATTTATACCCTGCCCTTCACTCGGAGTCTCAGAGCAGCTTACAAACTCCTTTCCCTTCCCCTCCCCACAACAGACACCCTGTGAGGTGGGTGGGGCTGAGAGAACTCTGACACAAACTGCTCTTTCAAGAACAGCTCTGACAGAACTATGGCTTGCCCAAGGTCATCCAGCCAGGTGCAAGTGGAGGAGTGGGGAATCAAGCCCGGTTCTCTCAGATTAGTGTCAACGCATTTAACCACTACAACAAACAGGCTTTCAAGAAGAATATGAGCACATGCTGCAGTCGTCTAGCAGCACCTGAAGCTGAAAACAATACAGGTGGAGTGTAGTTTCATTTCACTAAGAATCCTGGACTCCTAATACCATTGTGGAACATCATGGTAATGACCCCAAACAACTATGTCCTTGTATATCTTCTGTTCAAGTATTTCATTATACACACCTCTAGTGATGACCAGCAGGCTCTGACTTCGGAACTGGTAGAACCAAGGCCACTGACAGAGCCAGAGACAGAAATTCAGGTGAAATGCAGAACTTAGGAGCAGATGCCTCTGGGGCCCAACGAGTCTTTTCCCAAAGTGAGGCTTTCATCTGGGAAGCCCTATCACTGTGGGCTTTCAGCGTAAATCGATGGTGTGACCTTATTTGGAGTACTGTGTGCAGCTGGCCCGTAGCTAACATGGGGCCCATGGGGCCTGGCCCCCTAGTGTTTCTTCTGGGCCCCCTCCCTCCAGGGCTGCCCCCAAAGTGCTCCAACTGACCACCTGCACTGTACTTTCATTTCATTAGCTGGTGGGCCCCCCGAGGCCCCCTCCCAAAGAATTCCCTAGCTACGGGGCTGGTGTGCAGTTCTGGTCACCACACCTCAAAAAGGATATTATAGCATTGGAAAACGTGCAGAAAAGGACAACTAGAATGATAAAAGGGTTGGAACACTTTCCCTATGAAGAAAGGTTAAAACGCTTGGGACACTTTAGCTTCGAGAAACGACGAATGAGGGGTGACATGATCGAGGTTTATAAGATTATGCATGGGATAGAGCAGGTAAAGAAAGAAGTACTTTTCTCCCTTTCTCACAATACAAGAACTCATGGGCACATAATGAAATTGCTGAGCAGTCGGGTTAGAACAGATAAAAGGAAGTACTTCTTCACCCAAAGAGTGATTAACACATGGAATTCACTCCCATAGGAGGTGGTGGCGGCCGCAAGCATGGGCAGCTTCAAGAGGAAATTAGATAAACATATGGAGCAAAAGTCCATCAGTGGCTATTAGTCACAAGGTACAGATAGGAACTCTCAGTCTGAACCAAGTGATGCTCTGTATTCTTGGTGCTTCTGGAGGGGCAACAGTGGGAGAGCTTCTAGTGTCCTGGTATTTTTGGCCACTGTGTGACAGAGTGTTGGACTGGATGGGCCACTGGACTGATCCAACATTGGCTTCTCTTATGTTGTCATGTTGTTCAAGCAGCAACATTATGGGTCCCTCCAAGGCATAGAAGGCAGAGAGAGTACTTATCGGTATGTGCCCTCTTTGTGCTACATTTTTTCAATAATGCCTTCTGAACCACAACAAAAAAATGGACAAAAACTCAGGTGGCATTTTTTGGTATTAGTTTTATCTCAGAGGAGAAGTGGTGAATTGACAGCAGTGTCCGTGAGGTAAGATACAAGAGATGAACCTTTCTCTATGATGGTGCAAGGAGAACTGAGGGAAGGAGGAACTCTCCCACCTGTGTTGCATGATAGTGTTGGAGGGAAGGCCCTGTCTTGCAACAAAACAGGTAAAGAATCCCCTAGACTCTGGAGCCTAGCGTTTCTAGTCTCCAGGAAGATTTAGAATCTTTTTTCCATCTCTAGCCTGTACCTGCAGTCCCTACATAGAACTGCACAGAGGACTCAAATGTAAAGATTTCAGTTACTTTGGTATGGAACTTTTTAAAAAAAAATAAGGACTCAAATGTAAAGATTTCAGTTACTATGGTATGGAACTTTTTTTTAAAAAATGAGCAAAACAGACACATTCTTGTTTATACACATAACATACCTTTGACAGTTATCTGTGCTATTGCTTCTATAACACCAAGAGTGGACATGGCCACACAGGTGTAGTTGGCAGACTGCCTGACATCATTCAGCTCCAAAACATTCCTTCCTATTGGCATATCATCTTCAGGGGTCAGATCTTCAGCCCCCAGCATCCATTTTACATAGGGCATTGGTGACCCGACAGCAACACAAGTGATATTAACACTCCCTCCTGGCATGATCTCGTGGTTGGTGGGTGGGATTGAGAACCTCGGTGGGACTCGACGAACTGAAATGAAACACAAAAAACCACTAGTAAGTCATATAAATTGGAGAACATCATTTTCATATACAGGAGTACATGCATTTCACAGTATAAGTCTTTCATTATTGCTTATATTTGCCAAAAAAGAAATTATATGCTTAACAGGTTTATTGCCCATAAATCATTTTACATTTACTTATCAATGTCTTTTAACCAAATTCATACAAAAGTTGGTTCAGATCTAGCAGGGCCCCACAATTGACTAACTGCATACTAACAATACACAAACACCATGCAAAAGATACACACACGCATATATATGCATGTATATTCTGTATGTATATGTATACATATATATGCACAGTAGAAAACTGGAGGGTCAACAGCATGCTCCAGTTGAGTATCAAAACCAACTTAAATGCTGCACACTTCCAGCTGATGTGAAGAAATGTGGTGTAACACATTGTCACATCACAGCCCTCGAACACATCACCTACATACACTGAAAATGCAATTCTGATTTGCTTTCAGACTCAAAAGTGGATGCAGCCTCAAGACCTCGCACTAACACTGTAACAAACATAGGAAAATATATATACATATATAGTCACAGGAGAGGAAACAAGGCAAAGCCAGTATGAGAACTGGATTTTGTCATGCAGGCAAGCAAATGACAAAGTCTATAAGGAATCATGCTTAAGAAAGAACTGTCACAGAGGAAAATTTGTGGCAACTAAAA